GGTATTTGGGGAATTACTTGTTGCTAATTTGAATTGATAAAGTCTCCCCGTCTAATCCTCTGCAGTTTATCCCTTCTAATGCCATGCCATAACAAAAATATTTGGAACGCTGATCCTAAAACTGCATCTTTCAATATCTGCCTCACTGTCCAATCTGTTTTTTGTTGTAAGGGCAATAAAATCATCTTACACTGTCCATTGTGCAGTGACAGAGTGAAATCATAACTCAAAATTTTATGCACATCCTCAGCCCATCCCATGTCTCATTTCTACCTTGAACTGAGGTGTAAAACCCTGCAGCAGTATACATTTAAGGCACATTTGATTCCTGCTGTGAGAGAAGGTAGCAATGGGCTTGAATGATAAAATTGCGTTGTCAAGGTAACAGGTTGTTCTGAAGACTGCAAATATGTCGTATTGAGGATGCTGCTATACAATATTTCAACCTGCAGCCTCTGCATGAGCTCTGCGTTTCCTCAAAGTGGAGCAGGTATAACTGCAGATGTAATATGGTTTGCATTCATAATTCAGAGATATTTAATAGCCAGTCTATCTTCATCAATATTATTGAAATTATTCACTGCAAATCTCATTTGCAAAAGCAAATCATGGCTGTCGGATACCTTGAGGTGGCACAGTGATTTCTTTCAAGTGATGAATGAGGAAAAAGGTGGGGACTGCTCTAGAATAGAGATACACTGAGGCACCCTTTAACATGGCTCCTGATGTAACCATGGATACCTCTATTTCATGGATGGAGTAATTTTAGCTGGAGTGGGATCTGAAGGATAGATATCACCGTTTCTGCACTGCACATCATATGTTATCACACGTCTTAAATATCAGGTTACAGATATGTATATATGATATATATATATGATATATATATTGATAATATTTCTCATGTGCAGTATACAGTATGCCATGTGATGATACTAAGACATCCCTGAGTATAATGCCCTGCTCAGTGATCCACTGACATATGGGATGTTTTGTTTGCAGAAACAATGGTGCATTCACAGAATCCAGGCAGGTGTCAGTGATGCAGTGGCTGACTGAACTGTATAATTTAGTAACCCAGCAAACTGCAGTTCCGACAATCAAGCCTATAGTTTGGAAGATTGTATGGATGAAAATGAAAAACATTCAATTTTAAGAAAATTGCACAGCTGACAACAAAAAAAACATCTAAATCATAATGATGAACACTGTCATAGTTGGGACTTTTCCGAGAAATGCTGACATGTTTTTTTATAATTCTACACCAGGTATTTAGGGGCAGAAACTAGAGAGATGATTTTAAAATGAACATTATTGCGAGTATAGCAGAAGCCATGAATTATGTTGTAAATTGACATGTTGCCATTGTATTTTTGAGTCCTGTTTTCCTGTGTGTGGTGAGAGAGCAGGACAGTAGAACTGAGACTTTTCTGTTGCAGAGGGAGCAGGCGAAGTGTCTGCACTGTCAAGGCAACCACAATAGTCCTGCCCACTGGGGATTAAGAGGAGATGTAGCTATGATAAAAACTGAGCAGCAGTGAGACGAACTGAACAGCAGTTCTTTAAAGTCAAGAAACAAGAGGCTCGATTGTTGGGAGGTCAGAGAGTCACAACAGTAGCCTGGATAACTACATGTATTTGCCCATATTACTGTCATAAATGTAGGAAAAACCAATGAAAATAGACAGAGATAAATGTTGCCAGGGTGATGTTTTTCATTACACTTACTCCACCTACAGTCAGTTTACAGAGTTTTTGTTAACATTTCACTAATTGTTGTTGAACTTTCTAATGCTGAGCTGATATTCAACGTTTATACAAATATTCAGCAGTTACTCATTTAATGTTAAGGTTAGTGAAACAGTTGAATCGTTCAAGTAATAACTAGTTGAAATGTTACAAATACTATGTACTCTGTCTCTCTGTAGACAGACTATCCAAATAAAGTCTTACTGTTTTTTTCCCCCCTGAATTTAATGGGGAAAGAATTAAATCATATTTTAAAGGTTAAGAAGCGACATGTGGTTGTTTAGGTTTGAGGACTTGTTGCTCTGTAATGTATACCAGCTTGTTTGTTAAGGTGATCTTTATTATCCCAGAGGGGAAATTTGTTGCACAGTCAGCAGTAAAAACAATCATCAACAGGAGTCAAAACACACCAGTCCACATGCAACCAATTTACACAGTAAACATAGAATTACATAATATTATTCAAAAGGCCAATAGCAGCGGACACAAATGAGTTTTTGCAGAATATGTCTGTGACCAGATGGAAGCAACCTGAACTCACTGTGCTCGCTGTGTTGAGCTTTGTGCAATTTTACTGCACATTCTTACAATTCCCTGTAACCTCTTCTTGTTTTTCAGGCTAAGTGATCCAAATCGGCCAATAAAAGATAAGGTTAAAAGAGAGTTGATAAAGCAAAAAAAAAAAACATTCTCATAAAGGTGGTGTCAACATCACAACCTCCTGAGCCTCTGATAAAATCATATGCGCTGATGAGCCTTTGCACAAACATCAGTATTTGGTTCAAAAGTAAACTTGTCATCAGTTATTGGCTCCAGATACTGGTCAGTTACATCATCACTGAGCAGGTACACAATGATGGAATCATCCATGTACTTAATGATATGTCTGTCCCCATTGACTTTCACTTCTCAGTTAAAAAGATAACCAGACAACATATTAATCCTGGCTGAATGTTGTAGATGATGGAAAGTCCATCTGCTAAAATGTGAGGTTGGATACAGTTAAAATCTGAGGAGACGTCAACAAAAAACAAACATACAAAATTCTTGCCACCATATATATATATATATATATATATATGTATGTATAAGAGAAAACAGGCAGAGAAAGCTTTATAAGTCTGACATCAGCCATGAAAAAGTGATAATATTCCTACAATTGTTGTGCAAATATACATTTTTCTAAAAGACTTACCTGGCGTATTTGCATGGTAAATGCGGAAGATGCTGTTTTCTCTCAGCTCTGTCAAATGCTCTCTAGCTCCACCTGCTGGACAGCACTGACATGCACTGTCATATTAAAGTCAACTGATATCTCTGAATGGCTGAAGTACCGTTCAGTCCCACGTTGAGCCAGATGACCCTGAGGGGGGAGCTGTTCTGTCTCTGACACCTCTGGCCTGTGCAGAGCAGTGGCAGGAAAGGCAGATGATTAAAGCCGACATTTAATCTTTCTGCCAATATTCAGCTGATTAGTGTTCACCCATTTCATGCCAATTACAGAGGAATTTCAGTAATATGTTCTGTAAAGCTGAAAGATTTAGCTTGCTATAGTCTGATATAGCATCCTGCAAGATTGCAAAGTAATCAACTGTAGCCAATTCACTGATTTAGATTCCTGTAAAGTAAAACTGTAGGATTTTATGGCTTCTTGGATTTTATTTTTTGGCATTTTTGTCCCAGGAAATGACGGGACAGAGAGATCAAGGGAAGGAACAATGAAAAACAAACGTTCCCAGACAGGCTCGAACAAAGTATGTTGTGGTTCATTGTCTGCACCTTACACCCCAAGGCCCTCAGCGCAGACATGGATGAACTGTAGCATTTGACTTGGCCTTTACATCTTTGAACACATCAGGCTCTTCTCCATTTGTAGAAAAGCAGTTTATCTTGATATTATTCTACATGGTCCTGATCACTGAACAACAATGAGAAAAAAGTTCCCTTGGCGGTTTAGCACAATCACTTCAGTCTGGGGTAATCGCTGCTTATATGATCCAATTATCAGAGAATAGGATTTTGTCAAAATAAATGACAAGACAATTTTCTCTCCCTTCTCATTAAGCTGTGTTTAATTATTCAATGTGGTGTGCTATCATTTTTAAACATGCCCCAAGTCCACTGGCAAATCTTCTGAGGGAAGATGGGCTTTTTTAACAGTGCTCCAGTTTTTCTATGAAATTGTCCAACTGCCATAAAATATGCCTCTCCAAAGGAATCTTTCATTTATAGATATAGCAAAGAAAAACGGAATGATTCTGGCAATGAAATAGCAATATGCCAGGAAATAATGCCCTGCTGTGGAGCCTAAGCAGTTAGACGCAGAGGTTCTCAAACTAGGATCCACCTGGGTCCTTGAAGGGGGTCCAAGGAGGTCTCCAGCTAAATTCATATCAGTGTAATTGTGCTATTGTAGCACTGAGTGATGTTAGAGGAGTGAGAATATGACCTATTTGACCAGAGGACTCACTCTCTGTTATACACCTGCAGTAGACACAGGCAGTACAGTTCAGGTGGAAGTGCCCGATACAGACCTGGTTCCAGGCATAAAACTCCAAAAAAATATAATGCCAATATATGAATTTAATTGGCGATTGTCTGCTTATATTCAACTTTTGTTGACCAGCTTTTCATTCCTCTGTTCTATGGATATTTACAGCATACTAATTTTGTTAATATACTGCACTTAATTTAGCTGTGTTCACACTAAGCACACAATGCTATGTTGACTTACAGCTTCTGTAAACAGGCTATCGTGACAAACACTTTGTAATAAAGCCTGTTTTGACATAGTATCCTCAGAGGAACAAAAAAACAACCCAAAGCATCCTTTCTCCTGAAGATCTATTAATACATAAAACATGTTAGACCGGACATCTTAACACTATACAGGTGCAGGATATTTTATAAAATTGTTACCTCGGTTCACACTCCAGACCAGACGGTGGCACATGCTTTAAACGAGTTCACACACAAAAAGAAAGAAAAAATACAACAAATATGATATATAGCAATAAAGAGGAACTGGATTAAAGCATGCCTGACCACACATACTGAAACACACAATAACCTGTGCGGTGTCTCATCCGGGTTATCACACTGCGCCTGTCGAAAACAAACATCTGTACATGTTCGACATTTATGATTTGAAGGCATTAGACACCAGACTAATGTAAGTCGTATCGTATCGTATTAAACCAAGAATTTTCTTTGCTGCCAGCCGCAGAAAAGACTTGGGTAAACTGTGAGACCTCTTTGGCATCCCACTTCCTCCCTGCAGCGGCAGTGGGTCGGGGCGTGTTGACGGACCGCCCTGACAGCTGAGTTGAATTTAGGGAGTCTCACGCAAGCTCAGCCAGACATCCTGCCACCAACTTCACCGAGTGCTGTTGCCTTACGGTAAATATATATATATGTATATGTCAAGTTTTAAAAGAACAAAGTATCGTTTACCTGAAACCCACTGTAAGATTAGATAGTTACGGTAATTCCGAGTTTTGCTGAATTTGACAGATAGCGGAGCTAGCCGTGAACGTTAGCTGAGTGTTAGCTTATCTGACGCTAAAGTTAGTTAGCTGCCTTAACGTAAACGCTACCGCCAGTACGTGCTAGTGTAAATACGTGCTGTTCAGAGGTTGCACGGTTTGACAGGTTTTTAACTGCATTAGGCAGCTGCATGTGAGTAGGTCAGTAACATCGTGAGCTAACCTGATATAATGTTAATCTTCTACCGTAATGTTAGAATTGCAACGTTAGCTCTGTCGTGTGAGGAGTTAGAGACGCTACTGAACTTAGCTTACCCAGTCTAAGTAGTAGTGTTGAAATGGGACATTTTACTCACTAGTGGGAGTTTTTAAAATTTCATAGTTGTCATTATAAACATGCGATGCATTAACACGGCCTTTAAATGTAGTCTATTTTTCGCAGTCTTTTAGTGGCACTGAATCTTTTTCATAACAGGAAACATTTTAAGAGGGGCTAGTGGGTGTGCCGCTTACATGACTGTAACTGAGGAAAACTCAAGACATGTCATCGCTTGATCTATTGCAAGTCTAATCAGTGCTGTTAGCTATTGAAGCACTTAACCACTTAACATAGCATAAACATGAAAGGGCCATGAAAACCAGTTCATGTTTGTAGTGGCTGACATTCAAGTTGCACTGTCGGTGTATGGCATGTTTATTTTTTCATACTATCTATTCCTACTTCCTGCTTTATATTTCCATGAGAAAGTGGAATCTGGTTTTGGTTTTGGTTTTTGTTTTTGGGAAATTTCAGGGAGCGTTTTTAAGAATCTGGGCTCAGGTGGTGTATGTGGTGCAAGTCTTTTCCCTGACTCATATTGCATTTTGCATTCACAGTTGACAGAAGATGTTTTTTGCCAAAAAGTTTATCGGTGGCATCATTGATGTTGTAAGGTAAGAATCTGCACAAAGTACCTGCTCAAGCAAAACAAAAATGTGGTTTGTGGTTTAAGTTGACATTTCATCTGCGGTCCTGTCTTTGTAGCAACATCGACCCAGCCCAGTTTGTGCCTTCTGACCCTGTGAGTGACAGTCATTACATCACCAGCTCTATCTGCCTGTCACTGTACTGCTAACTCTAGGTGATTACACAGTTTGTAATTTCTGCTGCTGCCTTTGTCCCACAGCCTCCACCACGCAGGCCACTTGCATATGCAGAGCAGCATGAGAGTGACGAAGAGAAACAGTTCCGCAGAGTCTTTCAGCAACTTGCTGGAGATGTGAGTCTTATGTCTGCCTGTATTTCTCTTTGAATGTCTGGTGCTCTCTGCAGTAACCACACTACTTATTCCATTTCATTGACACAAGAAAATTTAAAGTCAACAGACAGATTTCACTGTTTAAAGACTGTTTCTCTGTCATCCATCGTGTTACACCGTACAGTTGTGTGCCTGTGAAGCTTTCCTTAGTGTTAACACTGTTTAATATTTGTCATATAGGACATGGAAGTGAGCCCAACTGAGCTGATGAACATCCTAAATAAAATCATTTCAAAGCGTAAGATATGTTTGCATTTGTCATATTGAGTCTATCTCTTACACATCCTTGTGTGTAGTTCTTCCATTCTTTGTTTTGATTCAGTCCTTTGTAGTATTTACACATTTCTATGTAGTGTATGTTTGTATTTTGTGTATATACAAACTGCTCAATGACTGTTTCCGCTTATATTTCAGGTGGAGATCTGAAGACAGATGGTTTCAGCATTGAGTCTTGCAGGAGCATGGTGGCAGTCATGGATGTATCCTGTCTATCATTAGCAGGCTGTGTTGTGTAGCTGACAGTGACTGCACAGTAAAAATACACAGGACAGAACAAATACATAGGCAGTTCGCTATAGAAAGAGACGTGTTGGCTCACCACACTCCATCACACCCACAGCTCATTAAGGTTGAGGACATACATTGTAATATTGAGGCAAATAACTGCCATGATTTGGCCATTGAAACAGATTTTCACAGATGGGCCAAGCCTGCGTTCATTTTGTCCTGTGGCACTGGATAGTCAGGTTTAATGACCTTGAAACTGGGCATGTATCAGATTCCCTCAGGCATGCTAAAAAACCAAGGTGCCCTGTTCAATCAAAAGGTCAATCTTTATATATTTTTTATTTGTAAGCAACATTAATTGCATATTTATCTAGAAAACTGTGTGAATGTAGCTACATGGGAGTCATGTGATCCTTGGCTGTGGTGTCAGACTAAAGTTGGCATTAGTTCCCCACAGCTCTGAACCACACAAATGAGGAAAGCACGCACAGTAAAAGTACACCTTGGGCAAATACAGCGTGCCCATAAGTATAAGTATTGCAACTGTGTATCTAAGCTGGAGTTAAAGAAGAAGACTGTTGCCTGTTGTCCTTAATGCAGTTTCAGAGTGACAGCAACTGGAAAACTCGGCTTTCATGAATTCAAACATCTCTGGAACAATATAAAGAAATGGCAGGCAAGTACAGCAGGCTCATTTCACTTTTCCTGCACATCTGTGTCTTGTTGCACTTACATTCCTGTGGTCGATGTTAATGTCTCCAGTATTAGTTAACACAGAAGAAACTGTAGTCCCAGGTGTATACGGTATCAGCTGTTGAATTGAGTTTATAAAGGACAAACTCAACCTTGAATTTTTTGTATTCTGTCAGCGATGACACATGAAGTTGGTGCTTGTCGATTTACGCTTACCAGGACGTGAAAAGCACCAACTTTGTTTAATGTTTTTTTTTTTTCTCTCAATTTTTCTCAGATGAATTTAGTTGATGCAACTATTTTGGCAGCTGGGTTGTTGGAGAGAAAATGTTTGCTTTGTGTTTTTTTTCTTTTAGTCTTGCTAGCTTGTGAATCTGCTTTTGAGGAAACAGTTTCAGATGCCAAACATGTTTTAAATACTTGTGTTGTTGTGATTTAGGGAGTGTACAAGTCCTACGACACAGATGGCTCTGGTGTCATTGGTGCAGATGAGCTTCCAAATGCTTTCAGAGCTGCAGGTGAGTGAGTTTTTAAAAATTGTTTAAATGTTTGCACAGACAATAAAACGATGCAAGCAAAACTAACTTTACACATAACATTAATAACAGCCTCACAAATGGATTTGATTAACAATCAAAAATGTCTCTATGCATGTTATGAACAAATAAAATATTGGATTTGGATCATTGATTCACCAGCTAGAAACTTATTATTCTATCAAATGTGGAGTTAGTGAGATTAGATCTGGTTTATTTCCTGCTGGCATCATTTTGTTTTCTCATCATGACCTGTGAGCACTAGTTAAATAGAGAAACTCCTTGATCAGTATTTCAGCAACTTGATAGACACGGGCAGCCAGTGAAATGTTTTTGAACTGAAAACAAAGCTTCACCTGTGAACAGCTGGATAAAGCGTTAGTGATTTGAATATCATACCGGTTGTTTGAATATATTTGTGTTAAGGAACGCAGCCTTAAGGTCATGGACACATAACCTCTCTGTAATTGCTATTTAATAGTAAAATGACCAATTTCATCCGCTCATCTGTTTGTCAGGCTTCCCTCTCAACGACCAGCTGTTCGAGATGATAATTCGCAGATACAGTGATGAAAGTGGGAACATGGATTTTGATAACTACATCGGTTGCCTTGTGAGGCTGGATGCCATGTGCCGTAAGTTTCAAAGACCACTCCTGAAATAAATTGATTTCTTTATCAGTGTGACAAGAATGATTAACTTGGAATTTAATCTCCAAAACTGAAGGTATGGTAGGCTTAATATCTGTTCTGATTCAGGTGCCTTCAAAACCCTGGATAAGGATAACAACGGGACTATCAAAGTCAATGTTCAGGAGGTAAAGTCATCTCAGATATTTTAAATTATCAGTGGGTTTCAACTGGAGTTTAGTTTTTCTAAAAGCATTGATTCAGTTTATGTCAAATGTTTTCAAAAAGTCATCTTCTCTGCCCTTGTGTCTTTTCAGTGGCTTCAGTTGACCATGTACTCATGAGTCCAGACGATGTCTCCTGCTTGTTATACGGAACCACTTTGTTTGTCCACGCAGTCCAAAATATTTTATCAACCATCGCAATGTACTCCACTCATCACTGTAAAAAAAAAAAAAAAAAATCTCCCACAAGGCACAGTTCGAATGGCTCCCACCTTTTTTCAATAGACTGCATGATTGACATGTCTACCTTTGTGCTAGTGTTTACACCTGTTGGGACAGGTCAGTGTATACCTTTTAACAATCACGTAAGTAATTCTCAGAAAAGGCTCCACCCAGCATCAGCCTGAGGACTAACCAGCTTTCTTACTAAATTTAATCCCCTATGAGGATGTGCATGTCTTTGAAGAGAGGGTTAATTTAACTTCAGGGGAAACAGTTAATCAGTCCATAAAGTTTAAAGGCTCTGCACACCCACAGGTGTTTTCAGGTATTAATGCTGAGTAGAGCTCTGCACAGGCTGAAGCTGGGTTGTAGCTATTCATAGAATTGCATGATGTGACCAAATTCCATGTAATCATAAGAGTCATGAGGATGTTAGTTGTCCCACCCCGACAGTTGCAACAAAGCTAACAGGAGTGTTGGGAAAATGGCTGGCAGCCAATCATTACACACCCACACAGCCCTGAGAAGAGGTCTCATTGGGTAAAATAGGGAAGCAAATTCTTCTGTTTTTGCAGAGACTTTGAGATGGCCGTTGTAAAACTATAGATAAATCTTACTATTTGTTAGACCACAGTTATACTCAGTGTCTTTGTGAAACCAGGCCCACAGCCACTGATGAAAGATTCTTGTTCACTAAAACATGTGAAACAGCTCATTATTTTGAGTGTTAGGGAGATGTATAAGTTATGGATCACTTGCACCAAAGCCTATCACAAGCAGATCGCGGTGCACACTCCAATATTTTGCATCACAGTTGCACTGTATATGCACAGCAGTCAGGAATGCTCATACTGACTACAGCCACTAGAAGATCTAAATAATGAATAAATCTAAAATCACAAACTGTCTTTTAAGTGACCTGATATTAAAGTTAGTTTATTAATGTATATATTCAATATATCAGCTTTATATCTCCTCTGTAATAGTAATGTACATTAACATCCCAAGAGATAATGTCTTTGCCATAGCATTCTGTATGTCTCAGTTAACTGATCACTTTATCACTTATCTGTGTGCTTATTCAAAATGCCTGCACCAGATAATTGCCAGCACAATGTGTGAATTTATCGTATATAATAGATGTGTATGCCACTAATGCAAGCAGCCAATAGAAAAGATGCATTAATAAGGGTTTTTAACCATGTAGTTGTAGCCACTGTCATTAAACTGTTACCGAAAATGTTTGGTAAAATAAATACCTGTGCCATATTTGGAATAAAAGGGTATCTGAAATGAGTCATTGGTAACTGCTGACAATTTGTAGTGTGCTCCTTTGAGTCATTAGTCAGTAACTAAATTCTTGCTCAGGTTGAACGGGCATCGGTCTCTGGACCATTCATAATGGCATAGTTATTTGAAATGAATCAATGAGTATGATGAACTTAATATAGGAACCGATTTACAATGGTTTCTTAACTTAAATGGGGTACGGTATTTGTTTGTTAAAAACACTATTATTTTTTTTTAAATGACAATTGAAATTACTGTATATGGACGTAATAAAGATTCACCAATCTCATCTCTTGTGTATAGAGAACATGTCTATTCACAGGCCTTAAATTAATAGACTCTTCGTTGATATTGATTAATCAAAATATATTTGGTGGGATATCTGCCAAAGAAAGCTGAACGTCAAACCTCTTCCTCTGCACAAGGAAACTTTGATTTATATATAAAAAAAGAGACAATAGTGCCCTCCACAGACAGGAAATCTGACCCACCGAGATAAAAACAGTGTTTTTTTTTGCATTTTTTGCATGACTTATACACCACCAGCAAACTCACTGTTAATGCATGAGGTGACAAATACGAACACCCCCTTTGTCAAGAAGTAAGCGCTTCTCGAGTGACGGAGACCCTGGAGTAGAGTGGTGCCAGAGGGCACCTGAGCCAGACACCCATATTTCCTCTGTGTGTGTTGGTAGCAAAGATGAAGCCTGCAAACGATATAAGAGGTTAGATGTGCTCCTTCAAAATAAAACCACATAGTGTTACGACAGTAAAAATTGAAGAAATAAAGAAAGAACTTAGTTACCGAAATCACCAGGTTATTGTGGTTATTTTTAAAAGTCACACGTGAAACCAGTGATAACCAATATGTAGTGACAACTCTCAAACTAATGTCACGTTCATCAGCAGTGTTTTAGCTACCCGCTGACGTTAACCGGATATCTTTTGTGTAACATTAGCTTCACACTGGCTAGCTTGACTAGTAGCTACCTTGGCGATAAGGAAGTTTATCTTTACGTTTTTGGACTAAACCCCGGCTTCTTTGACTTGGGGGTATGTTCACCATCTCATTAGCCGTTTTTGCTATTAACGTACACCTCGACAAGTGAGATTTGGTGAACTAAGTGCTTCATTAGCCTTTTCAGACTGCAACGCAGCGTTAGCTAACGTCCTGCTGCAAAGACAGCTAACCTACTGTGTGATGTTGTGTAACATTTGGCTAAACATAGCTAACTAAGTGTATGTAGCATTGTATAAGTGAAACGAAGTAAGTGTTATCCGTTAACAATAATTAGGGAGATGTAAGTAAAGGTTGCGTTTGACTGTAACTACGAATGGTTTGTATACATAGCTAGCTAATAAGGCTATCGTATGTGTATAGTGAGTATAGCATCGTCCATTGTTCATTCACTCAGCCAGTGCTAACGCAGACTGTTAACATCACGCTAAACCTGTACTATTTCTCTGCTGAACTGTATGAGAACAGTTAGATCTATGTATGTAACTACCTTACAGATAAAATGTTGATAGTATTTATTTATCTATTCAGTTAATCACCTAACTAGACTTGTACACGGTCATTGCTCAGCTGTTGAGCCTGTGTATCACTGCATCAATACTACTCACCCTAGCTCTCAGTTTCAAAGATCAACTGCAAAGTATGTATGAAAAAATACACATGTGAAGCATTTACGTTTAACACTTGCAGTCTCCCTTTAACTTTGTTGTAATCAGACCCTTGACCCTCTTACAGACAGCTGCAGAGGTAGAAGCAGAGCACAGAAGAGACTATAAAGCAGCTGAACCTCTGCTGACACTGTGTGTGGAGGATGTCTTCATCAATATACTACAACCAAGACAGTGTTACTCGCTTCAAGAAAAGAAAAGCTCGTTTCTCTTTCAGTGAAGTCCACATACTGTTGGATGAAGTGAGGAAGCATCGTATGGTTGTTGTGGGTATGTGTCTTCAACTCCTTATCGGAATGATTTCATTCACCTCCTTTAAGAAGAGATGGTGCTTTGAAGTTTTGTGTCTGAGTTCCTAGAAAGTGAATGAGTGATTGTGATGTACGTGGTTAATCAAAAGCTTAAAATAAACACAGCTAAGCCCAGGGAACAAAGATATTGAGAACACAAGAGTATACAAGAAATTACAGTAAATTTGTGAATGATAAAATCTTGAATATGGCCCGACCACTGACACAATGATTTTTGAAGGCAGGTGCTTGTATAGTTTTTTTTGATTTTTTTTTTTTCTCCCCAAAGGCAAATTCAATCGTGGTGTGCCAACAGACATGAAGAAGCGGACATGGGCAGAGATTACCGCACGTGTCAATGAGATTGGGGAGTGCCAACGCGAGGTCATCGAGGTCATCAAGAAATGGTCTGACCTTAAGTGCGATACCAAGCGGAAAGTGGCTGCCATGCGGTCAGGGACAGTCCCCAATAGGGGCCTCAATTCACGTCTCTCCCGAGACCTTAATCAGACAGAGAAAATAGTTCTTCAGATCCTGGAGATGGATGAGGAAGACCAGAGCATAGGTGACTTTGGCCCACTGGGAGATGACGATGATGTGCCAGAGGAGGAAGAAGAAATGGAAGAGGAGGATATGATTGGAATGCAGAGTTCTCCGAATGGCGGGTTGGACATGACAGCTATGCCCCCACCAACCTCTTACACCATGAGTGGACTTGCACAGTCAGGTAGCAAAGAGGATCAAATACTGTCTGTCTAAAGTAGTTCTTCTCATAGGTGCTTAAAATAATAGTTGAAAATTTTGTCAATATTTTCTCAACCTTATTTCAGAATAAACACTGTTGTTGATATGTGTACATAACACATGTAAGGTTAGAACTACTCCATGTCATCTTCCTCTGGAAGTATTAATTTTTGCTATAAGTATAATGAATGGCTTGTAGACGACTGATGTTTCAGAATAACATATTCATTTTAAAATCTAAGTTAAAAGCTAATTGAGGAGACATGCACTCATATAGTTTAATTTAGATACTTTGAACGTTGCAGGGGACTCATCGCAACCTGCCTTTGATGTGCAGTATGAAGTACCTGCGACAGAAGGTGAGTTGTCAAGTTTTGGATACAGAAAAAGATTCAGAATTTTTTAAAAATGTTTTAGTAATGAGAAAACACTGATAAACCTTTTTCTTTGACTCAAGATACTGAAACTGCATTTGGAGACTCAGACGAAGACCAAAGGGATGACGTGCTCCCTTCCACTCAAGCTGCAAAACCAACAGAGGATCATCAAGGAAACAACGGCATCCAAAAACAAGGACCACCTCAGATGTCCTCTGGACCTTCAACGTCAACATCCACGCCTTTGATGCCCGGTCAGCCCTCACAGAACACGAGGGACAGCATGTTACATAATGCATCACTGAGCCTTCAAGAGCAGCATGCCACCAACATCCTGCTGGAGACGGTTTCACGCTCCCTGGAGCTGCTGTCCGAGTCGGTGCAGCAGCTGGCAGAGACTCAACAGGAGTTTGTTCGGGAGTCGCTGCAGCTCCAGCGGGAGACAGTGCAGGTTCTCAGAGACTTCACAGGTGGAGCCATTGCACTCATGCATGACAAACTGAATGGACGGCCAGCATTATAGCAACAAAACATCAGAGTTGTTAAGTTGTATCACTGACTTCATACACAGCCTTCAGGTGCAGGAGCATTTATGTTCCTTTGGACTCCACTGCTGGTTACTGTACTTTTTCATAGTACTCAAAAGATTTTCTGTGGCTATATTTTAAAACTGTATTCGTATTGATGGAATTACTGTCTGCGTGGTTACATGAAAGGGGATTGAGAAAATAACCAATGTTAGCCATAAAGAAAGTAAATGTGGAGGGTGTTTTTTTTGCTACTGAACGTGAGATTCCTACCACTTGCATTGTAGAGCATTTTTTATTGAGCATACACCACTTTGAAAGCCTTTACATTCTTTTAATGTTGAAATGCAAAGAATGAGTCTTTAATTTTGAAAAGTCAGTCAAATCCATTTGTGTGTCCTTGTATAAGTTGTAGCTTTCTCTTGCATCAGTGTCTAGAGGTTATCAAATGTACTGTAATGGTAAGTGGATTTCTGCACCTGACCATTATATGGTCCATATGTCTGAAAGCTGGTGTTTTACATAATTTGAAAATACCTGTAACTGAATAATTTGTGATTGTCTGATTTAGTTCTTTTTTACATTGCAAACAACACTTGAATATGAAAGTTTCAGTAATTTCTTTTAAAACATGAAATAAACCCCTCATGTATTTAAATGGAACAAAAGTCATCTTCCAAGCTATGAGTCTGAAAAGAGCTACAGTGGACATAATTCAGATATCCACCAGGGAGGCCACGGTGTGGACATTTTCCCACTGGGTAATAAACTTGTGACAACACCGGTGTTACCAATTACATTAGACATTTCACAAGAAAAGATGTGTCGGCTCATTAGAAGTGTTTCCTCCAGGTGCTGCCACCTTCATCAGACAAAGTTTGCAGATTGCCTCATTAATGGTATCAGGTTCCTTTTTGATTTTGGGTTCTTTGATATCGCCAAATAGGTGTTTTTGCTTTTCGCTTTGACACAGAATACTCCACCCCTGTCTTGTTAGTCATCTCCCCTCTCATCACGTAATAAGACTCTGCTACTCTATGATGTGCATCTGCTCTGCTGCCACGCAGAGAAGAAACATTTTTTGTAATAGTAGCACCCAACTAAGTGTTGATTACAAGTATTTTATAAAATAGAGTTTTTTAATATATGACGTGAAAATGAACCGAATGGGTTTTATGTCTAAAAAAATGAAAAAAGTGGGGCTAATGGAAAAGTTATGTAATCGTATGCCTGAACGCAGTGTAACACCGCTAGCACCAAGCACCGTGGTAACTCTAATATCCACTTATTAGAAAGTGCAAATCCACCTGGATTCCGGGGCTCTGTTTTATAAATATATCTTGACATCTTTAGACTGGTTCTATTACAAATGCCCTTATATTGTTGATTTCAAATAATCAGATTTCACTGAAGATAGGTTAGTGGTATCAAATCATAAGTTTGAAAACATGAACTGTTTCATAGACTGATTGTCCTAATATCTAGAGAAACGTGTTAAAGATTAACATTAAATACAAATTACAGATAGACCTTAAAAGGATAAAGCTGATCCCATTCAGTGTTTTCACATTGTCATCAAAAGACCAAAACCAAACTATGCCAAAGTATTGTCTGTGTCCTGTATTCTCTGTGATGTAGAGTCCTATCCATTGTTGTCTGAAAACTATTAAAAACACATTAATGAGCCACACTGTTGCAGTGGGTGACATGTTCCTTCATAACAATGAACATGAGCTATGTAGATTTAGTTTAATTTGATCTCCTGTACCATGTCCTGCAGCTGTAAATATTCAGCAGAGCAACAAATGTGTATTAATCCGCTGCTGAAAATAGTCCCCAACAAGTGTGCAATTCCCTCCAGTTTGAGAGGTAGTTTCTGAAAACTACACCGCCCAGCTGATTTAGGAAATTACTAAAGCTTTAAAACAAGATAAAACTATATATACACATATATAAATATATATATATATGTGTGTGTGTGTGTGTGTATATATGTACATTTTCAGTAGGAATTAATGGGCTAGGAGCTGAGAGCTATGGGATGGATTGGGAGGTCAGAAAGTTAGAGGCAAAAAAATAGTTTTGGTCTTTTTTGGGATGTGTGGACATTAAGAAAAACAGACATCACCACATTTGTCGTTTAAATAAGTCCTTTATGAGGTGAGGACATGCGATATTGTAGTGTCTTTAACTATAACACCTCTTGACACTGTCGTTATCTGGAGTCCATCAGGAATACTGGCGATGTTCAGCCAGTGTTGCAGGTTCATTGAATTAGCAGAAGGGGGCTCTGCAGCACAGTCAGTCTCAGAGGTCAGACTGTGCTGACTGGGAGCTGATAAACGAGATGAAGCATTTCTCAGCGTGTCTTTAAGGCAGCTCTACAATGTATTATGCAGTAATGCAATATACAATCAAAACCATTTTAAAAGGTGGCATAGGAAGTTATTTGTAGAGTCTATAAGTGGCATGAATCATGAATTTGTCATGTTCATTTCAGAACATGCGTCATGCAGACATATTACATGAGCAAGCAGGGTGACAGCACTTTTACTACATGTTGTTGTGTAATATTTGTCCTTACTGCTCTACCACATATTGAAACACCTATCTCACAGTGTATTTATTTGAGACTGCTCCAGAAACTGCTGATGGTCTAAGCCTCAGATGAGGAGGAGAAGTGAGGACCATTAATCTGTTTGGGGTTTACTGTACTCCCTGTGCTGCTTGGATTGGCCACAACAACTTTCAGAAACTGTGGTTTTAAAGGACTGTACACAAATTACTGGGTTTGGGATGGTAGCTAAATCTTGGAGCTGGTTTCACAGAGATAGACTTTGAATATGGCCTAGATATAACAAATAGTCAGACTTCAGATAAACATTTAGATTCATCCGTTGCACAAAGCAGTTTAATTCTTGACTATCTTAAGTCAGACTGTGGTACAGTGAATTCTGGGTAAATTAAAACTTTTTTTCAAAGTAAAAAAAATGGCTGACTGAGGAACTGCATCCAACTGCTGAGCTCCATTCACCTCAGCAGAAAATGTTTATCTTTTGCAAGAATAAACAGTTACAAGAACATTTTACTTGAAGAGTCTAACAATAAAAAGAAACTCTGTCCCTTCTCTTTGCTCTCTCCATAACAAAGTTAGCAAACCACAAATTATGAGCTGTGAGTTCCTGTTTTTTTGTGGTCGGGCACTACTGGTCAGCACAAGTGTCATTGATTGTTACCATGGTAACATCGGTCTTCGGCATGGGTAAGGTGTCTGTGGGTAAGGTGTCTAATGTTTTTGGCTTAAAATTAGTCAGTCTTCATTTTTGTGAAACAGTTTTACTTGCATTAGACTGATCTATGAGCGATATTAAGACTAGGCCAACACTACACACCAATCTAAGATACCTTTGTGAAACTGGCCCCAGGTTTTACTTTGACCTTACCCTTGACTTTGAAAAAACACCCTCCCCCTAATATCTCAAAGTACAGTCTAGTTCTTATGTGGTACAACTCCTTCAAACATTAGTAAATAGAACAAGGCCAAGCATAAAGAATTTAAAGTGGCCTAATCAAATTTAAACCTTAAAAAATGTATAAAATGATGATTTTGACAATAGCAATTTTCAAGTTCATGGCATATAGGAGAAAGAGAAAGAGAAATGGCTTTTGGCAGGGATAACATTTAGTTTTATGGGAATGATAAATCCCTGAAAGAGAGAGGGCATTGTTGTCCTTTGCACCTTTATGGTCCAGTGGGCCACCACCATTTACAGTTTCTGCCTTTTCTGTTAATCCCACAAAGGAATCCTGAAGGATAAATTTGAGGTATTAAAAAATAAAAAGACCCCGCTCTGACTTCCCTCCTGCAGCAGAAAGACTACATACATAATGCTCCCCCTTTTTTTGATCTCCCCTTAATAATTTGTCCCTAACATCATGATGACAATGTTTCTTACTGAACAATGATGGGATGATAAATTCTCCTTGAGGCCACGTCTACGGCAATGTAATTAGACTCAGTTGTGAGTCTCACATCAATATTTAATTAAGGAAAAATGATAGTGAGATTCAATTCTGTTAAATGTATTATAGGTGTTTAACAAATGCTTGTTATTTTAAACATGTAGTTCCAGCTTTGAAAATAAATGTTGCTGATCTGTAGAGCTCCATTCTTAATTAAATACTGATGCTAGAGCACACACACACACACACACACACACACAGAGAGAGAGAGAGAGAGAGAGAGAAGGAGAGTTAACTCAAACTGCATTGTTCCCCTGCAGCCCCCTCTGCCTCAGTTGGTTAAGCAGCTGCTGGCCTGGCATGCCGCAGCAGAGAGGGGTGGAGGGCGGGATGCAGCAGGAGTTCAACAGTCTGCTGCTGGGGGCTTCCTCTGTGGCTGGAAGGCAGGGGGCAGCATTAGCGTCTGGCTGGGGGGGGCTGGGGTTCTGAATAGGCAGCTGTATTCACATTGTGGGTCGGTCTTATACCTTCAGTTCTTTTACGGAGCCCTTAAACCTGAGACTTAAGCCTTTCTGAAAGGGCATTATTCACTTTGAATGCCTATAAAACTGTTTTCTACTCGACCCTAACTCTCCTCCATCTCGAGAATAGAATACAACTTTGTCTATTGTACTTAGAAAGTGAATATTTACACTACAACTGCTCCTGGTGAATTCAATTAATAAATGCCTTTAAAGGCTGCATTACTCTGTACTACTACACATGAGGCAGTATGTTCACGTGGTTGAATCCAATGCTACATTAGCAGAACATATTTCCCAAAGGTCTATACAACCATTTTATTTTGCTCAATTCTTAATTTTTCTCCATATCTCAACCTATAGAATTGTTTTTTGTGTCACTTTAGTTGGTTGACATCTGGCAAAAAGAGGCATGGCCTTAAAGAGGCACAATGAAAAAGGAAAAAAAATCTATCCATCGATCTGTTCCTCTGCAAGTCTATATGTATGTTTCCTCCCCTTTCTATTGCCCCAGTTGACCCCTGTGCCCTTTCCTTTTCTTCAGTTTTAACCCCCACCTGTTCTGGTTCCCTCGTTCCTCCCAGCTCCTTCTTTCATCTCCCATCTGCCACTGAAACTGCTGCAGGACAGGACAGAGTATGGGCTGGCTCATTAAAGATATAGGATTGAAGGAAGGCAGATCTGTCCCTCAGCTTGGATGAGATTAAATTATTATCATTGCTGCTTTTGTGCCCCAACAAAAGAGTCGTTATATATCTGCTGCCAAACTAAACAATTCATTTTTATTTACTTCATCGTATCTGTTGTTTTGGGGTAGATTTGTAGCATGGTCAGTGACTCAGAGACAGATTTTTTTCTACCTCCATATGTTTAGGCAATAATCTGATATTGTCTTGGAAAACCAAAACACAGTCCCCAACTGTATTTTCTATTATTCATTCAGGTTGATAACAATAACAGATGGTTGAAGTGATGGAGGTAATTGATATATAGAGTAAAATGATCTATCAACACACACACTCACACACATGTAAGTATATATATATATATATATATATATATATATATATATAGGTAAACCTGCTGTTACTGTTACCTGTGATCATAGTTCACTGCTCATGCATAGACTCACACAACTTGCCTGATACAGTTGGAGCAGGTTGTTTATTCATTTCATTTACGTGTTGACTGGTTTGTGTTGCAGATGAAATACTGTTTGGACCCAGTGTTTTAATTTAAAACATGAAATTAATTCATATGTTTGCATTGCAGTGGTGGAACGTAACTAAAAATATTTACTCAGGTACAGTATTTACGTACAGTTTTAATGCATTAGTACTTTACTTGAGTATTTTATGCTACTTCATCCTCCTATTCCACAACATTTCAGAGGCAAATATTCTACTTTTTATTCAACTATTAGTTACTTAGCGGACTGAGATCTTACACACAGCAGAGAACAGGGTTCTGTTTTACACTGCTGACAGTGTGACCTCTCAGGTAGTGTCCTCACACAGATGTTATGCTGAATACTGACTCTGAAAGAAGACATTCAGCATTATGTCTCCTTTTGATACTATAAATACATTTTTATGATTATACTTCTGAACTTCAATAAAGTTTTCAATGCAGTAATTTAACTTGTAATAGTATTTTTGCATTGTGGTCTCCCAACTTTTACTTAACTAAAGGATCTAAACATGCTGCGTTCTTACTCTGCGGTGTCCAGTGGATCTGAGCAGCAACAGGACTGAGACGCGCCCGAACCCATATCTCTATTACCTAATATTCCAACATTGAAACGCACAACCCTGATTTTATGTAAATGGTGGTAACTGATTAAGAGTTGATTGATAATTAGTAATGAATGGTACATATACTGGTTGATGAATATAGATATAATGAATCAAAATAATGATTATGAAGAAAATATGTTAAGTTGAAAGAAATGTTTTGCTTAATGTTGCCACTTTTTGGCAACTGCTTTTTTTGAGTCTTGCACAATTATTAAAAAAACTTCAAACATGATTTGCTTTTTTTTTTTTTGTTTTGTTCTGATGAGCCAGATGAGTGAAACATGTTACTCGTGCCAGAGTCAATATGAACAGATGGCAAAAAAAAAAAAGGCCTAAAGTGGCTAAAGGTTCTCCCTGTGTTACTGT